CCTTTTGGGAATAAAGGTTAGCTCCAGGTTTGAAGAGTTCATTAGTCTCTGGAGACCAGACACAATCACCTCCCTGAACACCAACAGAACCTCACACTCACATATGCACGTATACACACGTTTATGCCCCGTAATAAATGCCTGTCGTTGATATATTTAAGCCTCAATCACACGGTTGAGTGAACCTGCAGCAGAGCAGATGATGAACGGCTTTATACATTAACAGTTGTGTTAATGCTGCTATTGGGACGTTTTAATGATTAAAAAGGAACCTGATTCAGTTTTCCCTCTCTATATCGCGGTTCTCCTTTCGCTCCCTCAGTACATCGCAAATTTTTTTTTTTTTTAAAAATCCGATCTCGCCAAATTTTTGCTACATCGCGAAATATAGCAAAAAATAAAATTAAAAAAAAAAAAGGCAAAGTTTTGGCTTTAAAAATGTGGATTCTCCATTTGAAATTGAGATTGAGGCGCATTTGCGAGCGTTCGTGGCTAGCTTTGTCGAGATCGTACACCTCATACTGTTGGCTAATACAATGCGTCTTAGGTGTACCGTTGGCTAATTGAGCGCGCTGTTCCGTTCCTCGCGCCGATTGGCTCACGCATCTCGGCGTCTCTCCTTGTCTGTCGGCTCACTCTGCGTCGCCGTTATACAACGCTTAATTAATTTTTTTTTATTCATTTATGCAATCGCAGTGCCTTGATTTGATTGAGGTTTAGTTCATTTGTCAGTTTTATGCCATACATTGGATTGGACATTCACTGTCCTTCGTTGTTGTTGTTGTTGGGTTTTTTTTTTTGGGAACTTTTTGCCCTTCATTATGGCTCCCAGGCGTAAATCAGGCAGAAAAACACGGATGTTTTTATGTCCTGGATTATGATGTTACCACTGTCATAGTGAGTGACAGAGGAACTGATGCACACTGTGGGTTCTGACTTATGGCAAAAATATATATACTTCGCTCTATGTGAACAGAAAAGAATGAGGGAAAAATGTGCAGATTTGCATAAGTGAGATTATTTCTCTTAACTAGATAATCTGTCAGTCAGTTGAAGGATTACAGAGGAATTATAGCAGGAAGTTTCATGTTCGGTGTTTAGAGGTTAAATCACGAGTCATTCTGGTTCACGGGCCTCATACAGTACAATCGTAATATGATTACCTATAAATAACAATAAGCCGATGTTTTTTTCCCTTTGTTTTCATGCAAATAAGTACAAGATTATTACGGAATATTCACGTTTAATGAAATTCAATTTGACAAAACATCATGAACATGAAGTGTTTGTGCATTTTTCTCACTTTGAAAATTCATCAAGTGGGCCCCGTTTACACCCCCGAGCGGACTGGTTTTGGCTGGCGGGCCTTATGTTTGACAGCCCTGGGTTAAATAAGGGAACACGGTTGATCAGCAAATCATCTGATCAGGGAAACCATGAAATCGTCCGTGTTGTTGGCAGTAAATTGTCCACAGTCATAGTCAGAGTCACGGGTCGGTCTCCTGAGTTTGACTATTGAATTTCCATTCATCTTTGCTGCCGAACACAGTTATCCATCTCTGACTTCTAACATACTGGTTATAACTGAGGCGAAATCATTTTGGTATAGACCGACTCTTCCTTATCTTTAATACTTTTATCACCTCTGTTATTATTCAGCATCTTCTCCTTGCCTCAAAATCACATTTTCCATTTCATCTAAAACCTCTTCCCCCTGCGTTCGAGGGAAAGTAGAAATGTGTGGTAAACAGCAGACGACGCGTGCCGCCTCTCGCCTGCTTTTCATCTTCTTGTCTCCTCATCACCGCGTGGTTGTCTCCTTGCTCTCATCGGTGGACAAACTTTTCCCCGTGTGCTTCGAAAAACAGTCCACGTGCTCAAAGAGGTCCGCGAGAATGCACCGCAGGTGTGGCCTTGATTGACACGAAACCCCTGCTTTTGTCAGACGCTGTGGTATTTCTTCGCAAGTCTGACGTAAGAAATACCGTAATTTCCGGACTATTGAGCGCACCTGAATATAAGCCGCACCCATTAAATTTAAGAAGAAAATTGAAAGAAATTGTACATATAAAGGCCGCACTTCTCTGTAAGCCGTAGATGTCCACGTTGTAACATGGGATATTTACACAGAAAGCTTTTTTTTTCTTTTACTTTTAGTTAAATAAATACTTATTTTCCGAACAGTGCCTGTAGCACGGCTGGTTACACGTTAGCTCTTTCCTGCTTTAGCACCCCGACCGTAGTTGAAATACACAGGGGAGACTTAGTGATCTGCTCCAGGGCTGAAGCTAACGTTAGCCTTCGGGGCTAACTCCCTTCACTTTGTGCTTGTCCGCAGCAGAGGTAAACAGAAACAGGGAAGTTTCTGGAAGTCCTGTATAACCAACTGACGCTCTCAACTTTTGCTACGATACTAGTGTAACACACAGTAGCCTAGCAGAAAAGTCATTGATCGCTAGCGGTAAGAACTTCGTTAGCCTGTAAAAAAACCCATAAATTAGCCGCGTCATTGTTTAAGCCGCAGGGTAAAAAGTAGTGGAATTACGGTAGATATTATGTACTTGATGTTTCCTGTGGGGACATTTGTCTTAGACTTGTGTGCAGAGTAAATAAATAAATACTGAGAACACATTATAATATAAGTAAAAAAAATGTTTTTAAGAGAGTTTAAGAAAAACAAACAAACCAAGTCCGTCGCGTTAAGTCCGAGTTTAAAAACCAACAGCTTGGCTAACCTGTTGGTCTCGCGGTTCGGTGTGCAGTACAGCAGGATCCTCGGCTCCAGTCCCTCTCTGCTGATGAAAGAGCCTTTGAAGAGCAGCAGCTTTCAAAGGTAAAAACAGCAATGTGGTTTGTTGCCGCTTTTGTGCACGTGTTTGTGCACGGTGCTCTTTCCTCCGCCCGCGATGCCCTTTGGGGCCCAAAGGATTGTTGCGTAACGCCGAGCTGCCTTCGCTCACTGTCGGAGCAAATTAAGGAGGAAGAAGCTGTGATGGAGGCCGCTGCGGCGGCGTCTGTGGTGAGCTGTCTGTGGCTCTGTATCATCAAACGGCATGATGGTGGTGGTGCAGGTGGAATTTGATTTCTGACTTGGCTCGGAGTTCAGACGGAGCTTTGACCTCGTGTGTGAACGACACAGCAGTTGTAGGTGTTCAGATCAATGGGAGGTGCAACATTTCCTATAGGTTCTCAGAGATTGACAGAGGGAGAGAGAGAGAGAGAGAGAGAGAGGGAGGCAGCATTATATGAAAAAAATGAGAAAACGTAAAAAGAAACTAGAGGGGAAAACAAGACGAGGAGGAAAAAACGAAAGAGAGAGCAATGGATAAGAAGGCTAGGTAGAGACGGAGAGAGAGTAGCAATGTAATATAAATTCACAAGAGGAGGCAGCGAAACATAAAAAGAGCGAGCAGTAGCAACAGCAAGGGTAGGAAAGAAAGACTGACATCAAGAGAATCAGAGGGGGAGAAAGAGAGAGCGAGAGAGAGCGAGAGAGCAGCTGTAAATTGGAAAAAAAAAAAAAAGTGAGAACGATAGGGAACAATAAAGAGAACATCTAAAGAGGGAGGGTAAGGAGCGAGGCAGCAGCAGAAAGAAGAGGGAAAAGAGGGGTGAGAGAATGTGGAGGAAATCACAAAAGAGACAGAGATAGAGACACAGATACGAGTGAAGAGTGCGAGCCAACCAAAAGGTCTCGCTCTCCAGGTTTGGGTCACCACATTTGTCTCTCACGCTGTGGTTTATCTCCACTCTCTTTGTTGCTGGGGTCCATCCAGACTGGTCCGAGTTCAGCCGTAGGTCATCGCTGTCCAGGGATCATCCCTCAGATGTTGAACAGGCTGAAGTCTCATCCGACAGGTTATATTAAAATCACGTAAATATAAATAATATTAAAAATAAGCTACTCAAGGTAACCAAAACTACATAAATGTCAACTGAAATAAATTAGAGAAAAAAAAAACAATTTCTAAGTGAAGAATAAATTGTCTAATTAGTCTCCTGGGAATAACCAAAGGTGAGCGCAAACATAGTTGAAAAATATTTTTCGAAGATGAAAAAGATAATTGTAAATCCAGAATGTGCTAAACTTCAAATGTTACCAAAAAGTTGGCCGATGACACGGCAAACAAACAAACAAACAAACAAAAAAAAAATCCCAAAACAGCAACGCGGCTTGTCGAACGTACAGATTTGGACAACATAGAATAGACAGAAGGGACGACTGTGAATTCAGACTACGCCAAAAATAAGTTTGTTCTGATCATTTCTTTTTCTACTTTAAAAAAAAAAAGCTAAATGCTAAAGCTAATTTTGCGCAGATAATAATGAATATTCTGAACTAAAATGTTGTGAATTGTCTCCCAAAACTTAATCAGAATTGCAATAGATACCACTTATATTATGTTATATATATGTATATATTGTTTTATATATTATATATATTATATATATATTTATTTCTTTTTACTTTGAACTGGTTTATACAAATGATGTAGATATGAACAAATAGTTCATACATTTGTTAAATAGACTTTGGTGCAAACATTCTGCAGCTGTGTTGAACCAAAGCTACCGTTTCGTTAAAGAGATTTTTAATTGAATTATGAATACAACGTTTATGAAATAGTTAATAATCTGAATAAGCGGTGTTTTTTTAACTTCTCTTCTTGTCTTTTGTGTTTTTTCTGGGTTTTTTTTTTTCTTTTTTTTTTCAAGTGAGCTCAAAATGATGAAACACTCCACATAAACTTCATGAATAATTATTATCAGCCATGAAATATTTAATGCCAGGTCTCTCAGGCTTCCAGACCTGATTAATCAATGAGAACGTCTGAGCACAGAGTGATGAATGCTTTATTTTAGACTCTTCAACCCTTAGCTGAATATGTGACTGCAGTGTTTGTTTCTTTATAACCAACACACTTCTCCTCCCCTGCAGACATGTACGGGGTCTGGAGTGTCCTTCTAACGTCGGTCAAATCTCTCTTTTCTCTCAACAG